CCCCTAACATTAATAGTGATAAATTTGAAAGAAAAAACTTGGAAAAAAGACTCACTAGAGGAAAAACAAAGGCTTACTTGGATTTCTTAGAATTTCTATTTCGTCCTTTCTTTTTTTCCGCAGGAGACGCTTTTCGGTTTGGGGATAGATCAGAGGACTTTCTTTTAAGATCGTGAGAGATTTCCATTTCAGCTTCAGGTGTAGTTGTAGGAGTCGAAGAGGCGGTAGAAGTAGGCGTCAGGGATGCAGTAGGAACAGGAATTGAAGATCGTGATTTAGCAGAAACAGGTGCTGGTTGCGTAGGTTTGCGAATACAGGCCAGAGATGAGTCGCTGGAAAGTTTAGCGGGTGTACGGCGGGAAGAAGACGTGATAGCGCATTTTATTGAAGCAATAAAGCCTTGCGAAGTGATAAGTGGTGATTCCGTAACGGTAGATTGAGAGGGATGATCGGATGATAACTCAGGTTCGGAAGGTTGTTCACGAGGTTCGGGTTGAGGAGAATTGAAGTCGTCAGGCGGAGGAACAAGAGTTAAATCGGCAACTTGATCGTGGTTGGGTTGATTAGGAGAAGGCAAACCACAAGGGAGCGGTAGGTTTTCAGAGCTGTTATTGGCAGGATCAGAGCTGTTATTTCCAGGATCAGAGCTGTTATTTGCAGGACCAGAGCTGTTCTTTGCAGGGAGCAGAGCAGCAGCGAGTGGTAAGTTTTCGTCGATGGGATCAGGGCTGTCAGGTGCAAGAATTTCGTTGCTAGGAGGTGTGGAATTTTCCGTAGGGGTTTCGGTGACTAAATCTTCGGTGACCTCGTCCAGATCTTCGACATTTACATCTTGGGTCTCATCTGTTTGGCTAGGTTGCACAACTGGGAAAACCCAGGAGTACTCGCAATTAACACCAAAATGTCCCTCTTGTTTACATATGCAGCATAGTAATGGCTTGGGACAATCTCGGGCTTCATGTCCAACACCTTCACAATTGAAGCAGATCTTGTTGGGGCATTCATTACTGAAATGATCTGGCTGATTACATTTACGACAAGTTGGAGTTTGTCCACTGTGTTTTATGAAGATCTGAGTTTTGCCAAAGCGAATAAAACTGGGGATTGGTTTAATGATCCGTACACGATAGTGGCGAAGACCGTTGTAAATATTTGGTGCATATGAATGCTTCCCCCGGCGATAGTGCAGAACTTCACAATAGGGCGCTAAACGCTTGATTATGGCAAGGTCAGCTAGCTCGAAAGGCGCGTCATAAATTGTTAGAAAGGACAACGGTTTATCAATATCTTGCAAAGCAAAAAGTTCAGAGCCAATGTTCAGCGAATTCAGGCGTAAGAAACGTTCTTTAGCGGTAATAGACTTAAACGTAACTACTACCTCACCGTTAAGTTTGCGTTGAAGACATTGTATCTCCGTCGGCGAAACTTGACTTTCAGCGAAAGCGTCGAATACAGCACGAGCAGAGGTCTGTTTGTGCGGCGTAAAAAAGGCAGATTTTGGTCTTTGTGGCATGGTATTTTCTGATGTCCATAACTGTACGGGTCTTTCATCATTAAGTTCGATTGTGCGAGCAGCCCTTGACGCGTAAGAATCGCCATTAACAGTCGAGCGACTTTCCAAATTTTCTTGAGCAACCATTTCTTCTAATCCATCAACATTCATAGAATCCATAATCCAAAGCAGAAATAAGAATGAAAATAGGGCCCAAAAGGGCAAACTGACCTCAAAAGCACGTAAACTTTGCGTAGGAAATTGACTAAACGGGAGCGATGAAATTCACGTCCGATCATACCGGGATAC